GAAGGGCAATATTATTGCCATTACTGTTATTATATAGTAGAAATTTTAAGAAGAGGGGTGCCATCCCCCCCCTCATCTTGAGTACTGGCTAAATCTTCCCACACTCTTTATTCCACCTGCTGCAGGATTTCCATCTGAAAACTCTTTCCTCTCCATTGATGTACAAACTGCATGGCTTCTATTGAAGACTTCCTCCTGATCTACCTTATACTTGGTGTGTCCCAGACCATAATCCCCGATCTTCACTGAGATGTCCGCAGTCAGCAGGCAGTTCCTGAGAGCCAGGTCACTGATGAAGGAAGGGGACAGACAGCGGTTATTACCGTATTAAACATCCTGGAGGCCGATGTTTTAGGAGATGTTTGAACTCTGACTGTGTTGGTTTAACCTGCCGGGTCTCCGTCTGGAGAGGAGCAGTCACTGCCTGCAACAAAATCACTGATGCTGGAGTCGATAAGCAGCACTCAGGCAGCACCAGGATGTTGTTTCAGGAAACCACTGTGATCCATGTAGAAGCAGCACCTGGATTCCAGGTCATAATTCAAAGCAAAGGCAAACTTTTCAGCTTGGGACTACCTGTGGATGAAGCTGTGTTTGTGCAGGTGCAGCAGCCCGGATGCAATGTCACAGGCCATCCTCTGCAGGATCAGGGGCTCCGGGGCGATCTCCTCATTAGACCTGCAGCTTCGGAGGTAACCCTTCACATCCCCCTGGAGAAATAAAGCATCTGCATGTTACACGCTATGACCACTGGAGGGCAGTGTTTGGCAGCAAACTTCAGTTTACAACAGAAAAGAAATATCTGTTGTTGGTAAACCAGCAGCAAATTGATTTATTACTTTTACCCTGATCAAGTTCACCTACAGACACCAGCTCAGAAACGATCTAGAAAAATTTCCTCAGTGACTTTAAAATGCAGAGAATTTGATTTATAAAATGATTTTATTGCTGCAGGAAGCCTGTAAGTCTGACATGGTGTGAGAAAAAGAAAGTCCTGCTTGTTTATTCAAAGATCCAACCAGGGAGAAAAAATGTTTACTTCACACGATGTGAAGCTGCAGATGAATGAACAGGATTCTCAGCTACTTGCAGCAGAAAGATGCAGGTTGTTGGAAACGTTTTTAGTAACCATTTCTGCTCTTATTAGGATTTCACTGACTCAAAGGTTGCGTTTGGGAAGATCTGGAGTATTTGCATGGATGGAGACTCACCAGTGGACAGAACTCCATGACCAGCAGGTAGGGGGTGACCTCTGTGCACTGGGCCAGGCACTGCAGCAGAGCCGGATGCTGGAGTTTACTGGAGAACAGAAAGACTGAAAGCTGCTTCATTCTGACACTGGATCAGCAAACATATCTGCATCCAATTGCTTCTGGGAATATAGAGAATTTATTTATTATTAAGATGAAAAGAAAACATCCCAAAGCCTCTTTTTTATCCAAATTCCTCAAGAATGATTTGATGAAGCCGTAAGAAAAGTAGAAAGAACCTCCTGAGTTTATCCAGTTTAAAGATTCATTCCCTGTTGATTTTTTTCATGGGCTTTAAGGTTTGTTGCAAGATTTAATATTGAAAATTGATGTTTTTCTTTATTACAGCAAAGTTTTCTCTAAGTATTGTAGCGCTGTAAGAGATGAAACGTTCTCTCTAAGAGCTGAGAAGATGGGAACTATTGATCACACAGCAAAGCATGAAGGTAACTCTAAAAATATCAGATTTCATTGGTTTTATCAGCCGGGTGCAGAACTTTAAGAAGCAGATGTGTTTTAGGATCTGAGCTGAGCTTTGCTTTAGCTGCAGACGTTGGTAGACTCATGATCCTCCAGTCCGAATCAGGAGAATGATGGTTCATCTTTCTGGGTTCTGATGTTTTTTAATCATCGGCTTTTCCTTTCTTTTATTAGTTCTTTGGAAAATACAGTCAGAGGCAAAAGGTACAGAAATGGACCAGAAATCCTAAAAGGAAAAAGGAAAACAGAAAGTGAAACTAGAAAAGAGAAACGTCCAGATTTCCCCATTTAGCCAGGAAAACCAGAAACCAGGAACTTTGCTCTTATCCTGGGATTTACAGATTTATCATGAGGGTAGTGATGTTATGAGACGAGCCGAGGCTTCAATGCATGTGTCGATTACTAGGAAAGTTAAAGAAAAACTATCTATTTGGTTAAAACTGATTTGGTGAAACTAAACGATATAATGATCATAACCTGAGCGAGCTACTGGTTACAGTTGTAACGTTAGTGTTAGTAGGATTGCTTTCTGCTCTGAAGTTATTCCAAAAAAGGAAAATTAAAAACAATCCACTAGAGGTTTTATCCAGGAGCCCAACAAAGCCTTGTTTTTTTGGAAACATGCAATGTACCGCAGAGTCTTGTCCAGAGGAGGGCGCTCTTCTGTGTTGGTCCATGCATCTGTGGAGAGGTAGTTTGGTTTCTCTAATATAAAGATCAGAGCATTCCTCCCTGCATTGACCTGCAGACAGTTCAGGGCAGTAAGGAATGCTATTAGCATGTTTTCTAAACTAAAACCAGGCTTTGTTGGGCTGCTGGATAAAACCTGGAACTAAACGCTAGTTCTGAAATTTTGGATTGAAAAATCTTCCTGGATGGAAGAGAAACGTCTTTAAATTTGGAAACAAAGTCCAGAGGATTGGTTTAAATTTTATTTTGTTGAAATGACTGTGACCTGAATGACTGAGAGCATTGATCAGCATATTGCTCTATAAAGTCATCATTTCCAGTGGCATCAACTGTATGACATTGATTTGCAATCCTAAGGTTGTGGGTTAGAAACCCGCCATAGACTTTTCAAAGTTGCAATAATACTTAATAAGTATTATGGCTAATGTGACTAATTTATATTGTTTATACATTGGGTAAAAACACTGCAAAACTAGATTGGTTGGTTTAGCCAAAGATTGGTTGAACACATAACTTCCAACCAGATTAAAATTATTTTTTTATAATTTTATTTTTGAATAAAAATGACTAAAACCTTTCATTTTGCTCATCATTACCCAGTTGCACAAACTTTTTCACTGTTTGCTTGAGCTTATTTCACTAAAATGGCAGAAAAATTGTGAACCTTAACTGATTGTTCTCTTTTTACACAAAAAAACTTAAAAAATATTTTATTATACACACAAATCATTAAAAATAAAATAAAAAAATACAAGAAAAACAATTGCAAAAAAATGACAGCTTATATTACTGACTGTAGTTCTGCATTCCACCAGTAGGTGGTGACACGTTGACATGAAGCTTCATGAACTGTTGGAATCGTTGAAGCAATTTGACCAAAACGGATCAATGAGGCTTCATAACATGAGGGACACGGGCGCCGTGTTTATTATTTTACCCCCTAAAAGTTATTCCACCGTTAATCTTTTCTAATAGTTGGTCAAACATTTCCAACTTTCTTTTCCAAAATCATTGGAAGGAGGCTTTAATTCTTCTAAACTAAATGATTAATATTGTTTTTTTTACTTTCAGTTTTACATCACTAAACACAGAGGATGCAATCAAACACCCTATTAAAAATGGCCGACTCTTCCAGAGAAACATGTCCTGACACAGATACCTCGTTGCTCCGCCCTTTTTGGCTGGTATCCGTGGAAACTAGAGAGTCACACCTTTCTAACGATGCATTTAATGTCTTTTTCAGGTGTTATTTTTACGACCAGCTTCTCTTTTATGAGGCTTAAAGCACATTTTCTTTGCACCAAAAGAGTAAAGAGACCCATTAAAACCAGAGCCGGTCAGATACGCTCCACTGGTTCAGCCCGTCGGCTGCAGTTCCAGTAAAATGTTGATCTTTGTCTCTTTGTTTTGCTGAACCGGTGTCTTAACTGTTCATTTAAAAACATAAAACTAAAAAAAGATTTTATTTCACTGTGGAAACTTAAACAATCCGCCATGGATGCAGCGGTGACAGTGGCTCCTTTCATCTCTTCTCTTTCCTCTGCAATCATCCATTAGATCTGATCATTGAGCTATTATACATTTATTCCAGTTGTTTATTTTAAAAAATAAAATCTGGATTTTATCAAGACATTATCAGACATCTCTGCCAATAAACTGTCTGCATTTTATTTTAATTTAATTTAAGGATTTGAGGAGGCTGTACCGGTACGGCTGTGCTTCCTCCAGGAAATGCATCTGGTCCTGCACACTGGCGCTGGCTTTCAGCTCCTTCACCACCACCTGGGTGGTGTTCAGGCCCGTGTTCACCTCCCCGAGCAGAACCTGGAAGAATGCAGCCGGAGTCGAAGGCGTAGAGGGAGATGGACATGGCCAGCGAAGGGACAGAGGGAGGGAAAGGTGTATATATGAGGGAGAGAAGGACGAGTTAGAAAGGGAAGAAGGGAGATGGATGTCATCTGGCTGCAGAAACATGAGCTTTTCCTACTGCCTGTTTTATTAGTGTAACATCAGCAGCGGCTGTTTGAAACAGAGGTGGGCTTACCTTCCCGAACCATCCATGTCCGATCTCCTTCAGGTAGAGCAGACTGTGGCGGCTCAGCTCAGAGGACCTCAGCAGCTGGGCTGAAAAACAGACAGAAATATTCAGCTTTCATCATTCTCCTCATCCTCCATGTTGGAGCGTCGGCCTCCTGTCAGGTTGATGTGTTGATGGAAACATGGCGCCCATTCATCCAAAGACAGAACATCGTAACAAACCAACCGGGTCTGCATCAATGTTGTTGTTTCACAAACCAACAGTGTGAGAGCAGAACTCAACCTGTGGCTCTCAGCATCAAACTCATCTGGGATTTATCAACATGTTGCCAAACTGTGCAGGAAAACAAGGTTAGATGTAAAAACATGGAGTAAAGGAAGCCATGACGACTGGAGGCCATTTTAAAAAGCGCGAGGAGCCAAATCTGATCCGATTAGAGCGGGTACCTCTCAGCCGTCTCTGAGGGGAATCATCCGAACACGCCGGCGGTTGGCGAGTGAACGCGGCGTTCTGCGTGATGTTTCAGGCTTCCTGTAAATCCAGACGCTCTGGTCCTGATGCGACTCATCACTGTCAGCTTCCCCGATGACCTGCATCCATCCTGGGTGGACCAAACGTCCAGCCGTCCCATCCTGTCCCGTCCTCCCTCAGCCAGATGTCCCCTCCAGTCACTTTGTCTTCCTCCCATCAGCCTGGATGACTGTTGGATTCTGGTAGAACAGCCACCAACAGGCGGATCTTTGTGGAGCCCCCCCCCACCACCTTCTCCTCTCCAGACTGGTCATTCCTGACACCCATTCACGCCCGGCCCAGCTGCAGAATGCTGCCCATTGTCCGGCTGCGTGGGACGGCGTGGTACCAGTTAGGACCAGTTGGAGAGCACACACTGGGACCATTATCTCCCATGACAAAGGAACGATCAGTGCCAGCAGGACGGTTCCACCTACACCAGCATGTTTGCCTCTGATAACCATGAATCTAACAGAACATGATGCCTTCTGTTCCAGACTGGATCTGCTCCTAACCTGAGGTCCTTCAGCTTCTCCGTCAGGTTGGCATCATCAGTCCTAACACTTCCTGTTTGCTTTATTCTTATCAGAGCTGCCAAATAACTATAAATACTTACTGTACCGCTGTAGATTTTTTTTTCTGAGGCCTTTAAACTTTTCTTCTCTACATTGGAACCAATATTTATACTTTTTACAACTGCTTTTCTCCAAAAAGCTCCTTCTTTACACATTAATACCAACATGCAGTAACAGCTGCCGTGTTCTAACGGGGAAACAGAAAAGCATGAAATAAAACAACAGGGCAAGGGATTCATATACATTAACAGAGCTGCATGAAGTTACATTTCTATTCAATTGGGTTCAATTAAAATTATATGTCTGATTATATGAAAATATTTATTTTTGGCTTGAAAATGTTCATCTGGATTATCGTTAAAATAAAAATAAAAACCCATTAGCATAGCAAAAAAGCAACTCAAAATCATTTTAGCTATATAATTATCTATAAGATCATATAAAGCTATTATTCAGAGTATTAGGTCAATATACATTGATCATTTAGGAATTTTACATATTTTTATTTTAAGTTATATATAAAATCTATAAAATCTTAATTAGAACTCAAGAAAAACGGATAAAATCAATTGTAAAAATTCGACTATTTTTGTTTATTGGTTTTGAAAAAAAGGAGATATCACTGAAGCTATTATCTTATTATTTTTAAATAATTAGTAAAACAGATTGTTTTTAAAGAAAAATATAGAAATAAATCCAAAAGAGAATATCTTTGAGTATTATGTCTTCAGTACAGGGGCCATAACAGGGGCACCGGCCCCCGTTGGCCCCTGTCTAGAACCGCCCATGCAGCTGTAGCAGAACAGAGAATGTTCTGCTAAATGTTGATGATCCTTCAGGTTCTATTTGCAGCTTTAATGCTTTAATAAATCCTGAAAGTTTTCAGCTGATCCTGCAGGTCTTCTGTTCGCTTCAGTCTGTATCATCCTGTCTGACATTTGAATTTATGAAGTAAATAAAACTTTATTTTATAGCACATTTCAGCAACAAAACAAAAGTGTTTTACATAAAATAAATATAAAAAATATCAATCAGGTTTACAGTAAATCATCAAAACATCGAAGAAAAATAGACCAAGTCAGTATTTTATGTTCTCTCTGGCAACAGGAGGAGAATCAAATTATTTTCTGTCAATAGATGTTTTTACTGAAAAAAAAAGCTAAATGTTGAAGGAACTGTGAATCATGTCAGTTTCTGCATCAAACTGATCAAATCATTGCGTTTTTTGCACCATTTTATTTTTATCCCACAATGTTTACATTTGATCACTGCTGCACTTTAAAAAGAGTTTAAAAAATGAGAGCTGTACTAAATGAAATTTTATTTTGTATAAACTCTGTGTATGCAAAATGACAATAAGGTTTTTCTAAGTCTTTATATACATTTTTTATTGATATTCTTAATCATGTAAAGAATTAACTTTGATTTATTGCATCTTTTTTATATATTTTTGATTTTCTTTTGATAAGAAAGTCAGACCTGCTGACGTCTCATTCTGATGAAGTTATACTCTGATCCAACAATTATAATTGTAATCAATATTTTGCTGCTATGTTTCAGTTCAGTTTGGATTGTTTAGTCAGTTTAAAGTACAGTTAAACTTGCAATAATATTTCTGCTTCATATAAGCCTTTCCCACTGAGGGAAAAACCAGTTTAAACTCAGGAGCGATGGACTTCCAGTGGCAGTGGGAGCAGCTCACTGGCGCGTGTCTGCCCGGGTCAAATGACTCAGCAAGCGACCTGCGTGGGAACACCAGAGCCGGGTTGACCTGCTAAATTACGTGATATTATTGAACGCAACGTACGGACGTCAACACACCGCGCCAGTCGCTTCTGATCCAACAAGCAGAAACGACTTTGCTTCCATTGGATAAACATGGAGCAGTTCTGGTGAGAGGGATTCAGATAATAGAGAGAAACAATAAAACACACCGACTACGCCCTGGCTTCCTTCCATGTTGCTCTCCATTGTTTACTTCCCTGATTTCTGTCGCACTGCTGACGTTATCAAAGCTAACCCAGCGTGATGGTGTCAGCAGACATGCGGCTGGCGGCGAGGGGTTCGGCCGACTTTATTTGCGAGTGTGAAGGGAGCTTAATTGCGATTGTTAGCGGGTCGATCCATCTTTGGAAAATCCCCGTTAACCTGCTATTTTCATTGGGAAAGAGTCTTTAGAGACTCGCCTTTTGCATGAACGCGTTAACATGCAGACTTCACATCTGATGTTCAACGCGGTGTCTGCAGCGTTTCGTCAACAATAACAGCCGATCGTCTCGTTTTTTCAGCCACAGGCTGCAGAGACACCTGAGGAAAAACACGGATCCGCCCAAAACCCAAAGGAGGAAAGTTCTCTTCATGGATAGAAAGCATGTGAACCGACTCTGACTCCAGAACGATCCGAACATCTCCTTAAAAGAACCTCTCTGTCACATGATAGCTGCAGCAGCGGAGATGTTTTTAAAGCACTCAGAGCCAGATGGGATTCCCATCATTCCCATTCAGGTCCAGCACATCCTGGCGCTCCTGTCCTTGAGTTATCATTTAAACTAAAAGCTCAGCCTGACTTAGAAACTAATCAATGGAAAGGTTTTTAAAAAGCATGAATTGTTTTTGTAGTTTTCTGCTCTCATGTCTCCTCTGAGTTTCCCTGCAGCACTCAGCAGCTGCTTCAGGGCGGGTCCTTTAAGGCCGGCCTGTCTGAGCCAAACTCCTGCTGCACTGATGGCTCATTAAGACCTCCACCTATCAGGGAACTGAGCAGGAAAACACTTCTACTTCGAGGCCAGATGAAACTCGGAGCGCCAGTGTGTCTGAAAAGAGACGGTTCCGGCTCTGCTTTGGTTCCAATGCCGTCACATTACCAAAGTAAAGCAGGAGGAGGCGTCCACGATAAACCTGAAGGAGCTGATAAACCTGAGGGATGCACAGCTCAGGTGGGAGAATAATGTCCACTGGAGGACTATCAGCTCTGCTCGCCGCTAATCTAAACCTTTCAAAGAAGAAAAGCCTGGTTTAAACCAAGCTTTGCCACCAGCAAACATAAACACTGTTCAGAGGAAAGTTAAAGACGCCCTGAACACCCCCTTCCCTTCACTGACACATGGTGGTGGCAGATTCTCAGTCATCTCGGTCATAGTCGTTCCAAAAAAGTAAAAAAAAAAAACTTTAAACAGAGGGGGGGGACTCAGGTTTCAGATTTCAGAAACCTCCAATGCAGCGATAGAGTTGATTCCTTCCCGCCATCATCGCAGCTCCAACCCCTTTACAGGAGAACAGAAGACCTCACCTGTTCA